ACAGTAGAGTCCTGATCAAAAGTTTAGACCACATGCCTTTAAAAGGTCAAATCTGTGCAAAAATAAGGATTTTTGTGGCTTTGGAGTGGATTGGATCAATCCTTTTGAGAGAGAGGGACTTACCATGGAATAGATGATTTTCTTCTAAGCCCATTTAATTTAATTTAGAGAGGCTCACCTTGTGGCTCTTTGTAGTGAGGTATTTTATAGCAATTTATATATTAAATCAATCTACGTATGCAAAAATGTTGACCACTCCAGACGGATGAAACCTGACAGCTTTTCTTAAAGTGCACTGTTAAAAACCCCACAGGGGCCGGGTTTAGGACATGTCCAAGTATATATATTTTTCTCTTGGAAACAGAAAGCAAACAAAACTGAATGACAGGATCAACTTTTATACTGAAAAATACATTAGCAAGATAAATCATAGAAAAGTATTTGTTCAGAAAAAGTGTTTTACGGAGTTAAGTGGAAATTTTTACTTGCAACTTTACACACATTTGGTTTTGGAAACTCTTTCATAAATTGGTTAAAAATATATTAATTCCCCAACAGCTTGTGTCAGAACAAATGACCAAACATCCTTCAGCTTCTGTCTCCCGAGGGGCACCATGCAGGGATGCCCACTCTCCCCTTCACTGATTGCAATTTTTATTGAACCGCTAGCAGCAGCAGTTGGACAGAATACAGTAATTAAGGGCATAAAATGTAAGAACATGGAACATAAAACCAGTCTTTATGCAGATGATGTGTTGCTTTTTCTCCAGCACTCACAAACTACTCTCTCTGTTTATTTTTGATGATCCCAAAGCAAACCATCACAAGATTGGTTCAGATCTCTGGATTCATATATTTCCAAATTCCTTTGGAAAGATAAACCCCCGCGTATCAGCTTAAAAATGCTACAAAGAACCAAGGATAGAGGAGGATTAGATCTGCCTAATTTTCACCAATACTTCTTAGCCAACAGGCTTCAGTTCATCTCAGAATGGTTAAAACATACCTTCTTAGATGAATCCCTGGATAGATGTTAGAACAGGCACTAGGGATGGGTACCGGTTTCGGTTCTGACATAAACGGTAGTAACCAGACCGAAAAGCAGCGCACATTTCGGTGCTTTATTTCGGTGCTTTTTTTTCCTGAGCTGTGATACACTTTAGATTCTAGCCAATCATTTTACGTTTCCGAGGATAGTAGGCGGGGCCAGGTACGTACGTTCTTTTAGAGCAGAGCTACAGATTAAAAATGCCCAAGGCGAAGCGGTCAAAAGTCTGGCTGTACTTCACAGCAAAATATGCAAACTCAGCAGCAACAAGTGCTTTAAGCTGATACTGTGATACTGTCAAAGGAGGTAACACCTCAAATCCGATGAAACACCTGGCGACGCATAGCGGTTTTTTTTAAAAGCCAAGAAATGCGCCGTATTTGATAGCTTGCTGCGAGACCTCACACCGAGCACATCTACTGCGGGTGTGGTGCCTGTTATCGGACCCGGAGTTAGCAACATCAGCAGGTACTCCCTTCACCCTGGCCAAAAAGGCTAAAATGACCAAAGAAAAAGTGGAAAACAGTTGAACATGAGAGGTTTTTGGACCAATTTTGTGTTCTCCATTCTTTAAGCACCGGTTTGAGCACCGTTTAAGCACCGGCACCGTTTCAAAAGTACCGGTTTGGCACCGGTATCGGATAAAACCTAAACGATACCCATCCCTAACAGGCACTATGTAATAATCTAGAATTCAGACCTACCATTTATCAGCTCAAACATCAAATGACATGAATACTTTAAAAGCATCAACATCAGCTCTTCTCTGACAGCATGGTGAGAGTTTCTGAAAATAACAGTCTTCATTGTTGCAGGGCGTGGTTTGCGATGCTGCGGCAGGTGCAATGGATGCACCTGTGCGGCATCTCCAATCACGCCTCGCCGGCTTCAAAGTCTAGATTTTGAGTTAATGTTGTTGTTGTTATGTTGACCTGGCAGTGGGAGAGCTGCAGCTGTGTGTGTCTAGCAACCCTCATTAATCAAATAAAAATGATCAAAATGCCACAGGGTCTGTTGTGCATGTTTAAAGGGATGTCGAAACCCAGGATGGGGGGCACGGCAGACCCACGACCAGGCCGGCAAGGCGAGGAGCTGGCCCGAATGGTGGCTGAAATGGCAGCTACCCAGTGGAGTGGGAGAGAAGACGTTGGTGCCTGTACAGGGGAGTCTGTGCGACCAAAGCCAAAGATGCGTGGTTGTGGTCTTGTCCTGCCTTCATTATTGTGGTTTATGTGCTCTTGGGTGGTGTTTTTCTGTTGGCTGTGTGCAGGAGGATGGAGGCTGGTCTGTGCTGGCAGACATAGGTACCAGGCTAGTAGTCTAGCTGCACCTAGGTGGGTCTGGGGCAGGCTTGGGGTTCTGTGTGTGCTCCACCTCCAGGCTGGGGCTCTGGCTGGGCCTTGGGGGCATGGATCCGGGTTGGTGTGTGGCACTTGGCCCCAGCGTCTGTGGGGCTTGGCAGTACT